GTTGTCTGAAGCGCTCTAACTTCCAACTGAAATTTACTTCGCCCAATAAATGTCACGTGTCCCAAACATATTAATTTTATTTACTTAGTCACCGAAACAAAAGGACTTTTTTTTGTAACTAAGATTTATTGCTTGGAACGAATACAGAATTTGTAATATTATTGAATACAGAACATACTTTTATGTATTCTTCGCACGAGGCCACTAAACTGAAAACATAAGGGAAAGGTCATCTCTCGATCAGCATGTTACATCTCCGAACCTATAGGCATTTACTATGCAGGGATTTATACCGAAACTAATGGCTTCTTCTTCTTTCTTTCTTTCTTTCTTCTTCTTCCTCCAATGGGAACAGTATCAGTTCCACGTTATATGAGACTCAAAACTTATCAGTGTTTCCAATAAGTGCGCCTTCACCTTCCTAGTAACATTTGGAGACAGGTTTCAAAACACGGCGTAAGTTTACTTAGCTCATTCAAAAGTTACTTCGTCTGTAATGCATAGAAGTATTTCCTGCATGCTTTCCGAACTAAATGACTGAAAGGGAGCTGTTCTCAGCAATGTTCAGTCTTTTGGACCTGTCTTCTGGGCTTACATCCAGTGCCGAAGTTAATAAGTTAAACTTCACTTCGCATCTTCTGCAGTTACTTCAACAAGTTGTTTAAATAAGACAGACTCCTACTGATGTCACTGTCGTGTTGACTGTATTCCGATACCAAGGACAAATTGTAAAAACTGTCAGCAGATATTTATTGTGCGTTTGAAGGTGAACTTCGTCAGGACTTTGTGCCACATGCACAAGAATTACGGCTACATAATCTTATGCAACAAGGTTCTTTCTTGGTCTGTTAATGAAATGTGATTATGAATTGTAAATTTTGAAGTCAGTGTAAAACTGTAACCTGTTATTCCCCTGATATGCGTTCTACGACAATTTTCTAGTTGCAGTAGTAGATAAAACTACTGGGAGTGTTAGAAATTGCATTTGTCATGGAACGAAAAGGTCACCGAGCTGAGGGCAGCAGGAAGGCAAATTTGAGAAGTTTCCATTTTCCGTTTTTGTATAAATTTTATTTGCGAGAAAAATAGTGGCTGATTAGCCAGCGTATGTAAACTGTTGTACTCTAGTGAACAAGGGGTTCCATAAAATTCAGGGAATTAATTGGCAGATTGAGCGATTTTCAGTTTCCGGAAGAACTCTGCTGTCTGGAGTAAACTCAGAAGTATGAACATCGACGTGATGTGATTACAGGTGCCGTATCGCAGAATGCGATGCTGAAGAAGCAATCTATCAGCCCGAATGGTTACGCAACGCCGTGCCGTTCAATGATGACAAGCCTAGCTCCTGTGAAAGGTATCTGTCACGAAGCAATTCAACTTCCGCCGACGGATTTCCGATAAACAACGAAACTTCCTGCTTACCTGATACTTTTGATAACAGTAGCATGGTAAAATGTCGTGACTGGGTGTTCGATAACGAGGAATGGACTATTGCAAATGAGGTAAGTGTAGAGTTATTTATTCTGCGACTTGCGCATGCATAAACTTTGATGTAACACGCTGAACCGTCTCAGCATTTCGAAACACTCAGCTTGTAGTATAGATTACATTTTAATTTATGCAGTTTGTTAATATTCTCTGTAGCTTGACCTATAACTCAGCGTCATGATAAATGTCTTATCGGTGAAATAAATCACCTGAGAATATTTCAGCGTGTTAATATTTCGAAACAATATTAACAAATAGAAATTGGTTCGTGATTAAATTGGGAAGTAAATTAATTCCGTAATAGTTTGTTATTCAATTCACAATCGGTTATTATCCCGTCTGTTTTTGAAAGCGCTGAAGATCATGATAGGTGTACGAAACAATAGTATTGCTACTGGCTTTGTATGGTTGTGAAACGTTGTCTTTTACTTTGTGGGAAATAAATGATAAGTGTTTGAAAGCAGAGTGTGTTGGAAAATATCGGAATCTGAAAGGCGTGAAGTAGGTCTTGTGAGGAATTAAAATTAGGCGTATTATATTTTACGCAAGGAGAAACTTCGTTACCTGCGGGTAGCCTACATAGGTTACCTAGTTTTGTCGAGATATGAAATCTAGGAGGCTGTATGTTTGACACGTAGCGTAACTGGAGGAGACCTGGAATATGTACATGATATTAACGGGGAAACCCCTTCCAAGACGTCTGCTTGAAACACCTTTGATACAGGGACCGTTAGAGGCTCGGTTCTACAAAGACATAGTTTCATCTCATCGCAAAAACAACAACCTCTTTCAGAATTAATCTTTTTCAGTTTAGCTCTATTGGCCCCTTTGAACCTAAAGCAAGCACTTCTGACATTAAATCAGATTAATTAACGCTTCGCAGTCTGTGTGCTGTGACTCACTGTTGTGTCCTTTCGATTTTCAAAGTGTACCGAGGGTGGTACGTGTGGAAATGATAAATGACTGCAGTAAAGTAATATAAGGATTATTATTTGTTCGTTGTCTTTCTCGGTATAGGTACACTTTCCTACAGAAATTACACCACCCACCCCTTCCCACCTTTATGCCTATTAATACACTCACAGCTGTTAGCGATGGACCACGCACGTTATTTTCATCACCAAAGCTTCTTCTGAGTGTGTGTGTGTCGTAACCATAGTGCAAGGCAAAATCAATATAGAGAGAGATACACGTTCGTAGGTATACATCCTTTGAACACGTGACACTTATTTGTTAAAGTAGTAACAGACCAAAATTACGTTTATGAAGGAGCTAACAGCAGATTAAATTCGAGGAATGGTTGCTATCATCCCGTTCATGATCCTTTCACTTCCCATCTCCTACCTAGAAACCTAAAAATAAAAATTCCTAAAGTATATTTTGATGTTGGTCTTCTGAGTAGCAATACTGTGTGGACTTGTAGGTAGTGTGAACAGAAACTGTTTCCCCGAAACGTTGGTTTCCACCTACAAGCCCACAAGGCGTTACTACCCAGAAGATCAACATCGGCATCTCCACCGCTGAGAGAACCTCAAATCTCATATAATAAAAGTGAGATTCTGCTTGTTATTTTGTATGGGTGTGAAACTACGTCTCTCGCCCTGAGGAAAGAACTAATGGTGTGTTCTACGGTCCTGTGACCACTTTAATAATCTCTCGGCAGTGAATTTCTTGTCATGGCTGTCAGCTTTCAGGAAAGACTCTGCTTGGATCATTGAAAAACTAATTATAGTTCCAACTGTTGTATGGAGTCACATGCTTCTCCCCACCAGTAGCCCTCTTTTCGGAATTGTTCCCCCCCACCACCACCACCACGAGGCAGCACGTGGGACTTGGCTTTGAAGAGGCTATTGTGTCTAGAACATAAATCATTCTTGATTAAAAAGTCGGTTACTAAAACTGCTCGGGATTTGATATATGTCGGTAGTTGAGACTGTTGCTTGAAGAACATTATCATTACTCGTTTAGCGGTTACAACACCCTTCAGTTTCCACGAATTTTATTTTCAATACTAAAATATTGTAAGAACTACATAGAGTCTACCTCAGATGGCCTAGTTATTCCCAGCCTCTTATGGGACCCAAAAGTTCACTTCCAAAAATGCGAGCCGTTGGAATCCACTCTTCATTTTCACACCCTATTTTTCTAAGATCCGTTTTAATTTCATTTTCTCTTCTACGCATAGGTCTATCACCAAGTCCCACCATATCATCGTCTTTGAATTGATCACCTGATAATATCTGGTGAAAAGTAAATATTATGATGCTCCTCGTAATGTAATTTGCCCCACCCTTATGTTATTTCCTGCCATATTGGCTTGTCTGGTTTGTGCTGCAGGTGACGCTGCCAAACATATCGATTCTTAAAAAAAATATTCAAAGCTTGGATTTGGTGAATGTAGGCGGTTATGATTCTCTATCCATGTGATGGCCTCCGGAACAGTCAGTTTCTTTTCAAGCGGTCTTTAATAATCTGTGACACTGAGTTTGACATGCGTGGTGTAGGGAGTGCGAAGTAAAACAAAGCAATCACAAACGGGACACCTTTCAGGCTGTATTCATGAACTGCTATTTATAACTGTACTGCCTTCCGCTTCGAATTGATGGCACGTACACGCATGTCATCTGCCTACCAATCTGTCTGTGACTCATGGTCGATAAACATCCTAGTTCCTGTGTCATTAATCTGCGGTGAGGGTTGCGTCATAGAGGGAAGGAGCTGAAACTGTCACACAAGAGGAAAGAGATAAATTAGAGCTGAGACATGTAGAAATGAAAAATATGAAATTTTGGCCAAGAAACCTCGAGGGAAAGAAACAAATCAGGAGGGGGGAATAATTAAATTCTGGGGAGTCCAATGTCACTCACGGTTAACAATGCAAGGGCGATGCGGAAAAAAATTGAAGCTCTATTTTCCGATATTTCTGAAATAAATTGTTATTACCATTCAACACAAAAAAGATCCATCCCCGTCAACTTTGACGGACAATACTATGCTAGTTAATAAGGTTGAAATAAAGGACGAAAACTTGGAAATGTTTCGGGGAACGAGAGAGGCGGAGGGCCACCACACTTTGTCCATGGGCAAGGAAGATTTTCTTGCTGTTAGTCGTTCGGAATTCAGAATTCCGCTGCGCTAATGTCTGCATGCCGTAACGTTAATTTCCTCCTGTTTTCTTTCAGTGGAAGTTTACCTCATGTTTTGAAAAGCAGTGGAGATTAACGATTGTCGGAACTGTAAATAACATTGGACAATTTGTCGGCTTTCCACTTGCTGGCTACTTTTCTGACAGGTAAGTAATTGTTATTGTTAAATCTGTTAAACAAAGTTTCCACTGCAAAAGTAGGCAACATTTTCTTGTGCATGCCAAATCATATTATTCTCAACTCTTTTAAAAACAGTGGTAGCGTATTTGTGCCACCTCTTTATGTAAAAGGGCGTCGTTAACTAGAAACACTGAATAGACTAGCGTTAGTTTGGTAACGAGTAGGAAAAAAATGAGGACGGACATTATCCAAGCAAATTTTGACCATATCTTCTCCAGTTCATCAATCAAGGCCACCCTTCTATTCTACGGTATATAAAATATAGAGATGGAGGGAAGTTTCGTGAAAGAAATTAACAGAAACATAAAAAACAGCTCGCTTTATGAGACTGAATTTAATTTAAAATACTCGAGAACCTCCAGTGTTTTTTTTTGTGTGTGTGTGTTACAGAGTTGGCAGGAAAAAGACGCTGTTGGTGTCCATCATAGTGACGTGCTTGCTGGGCGTACTGCGTTCCTTCGCGTGGTGTTACGAGGCTTTCCTGTTCTTCGAATTTGTTGTGGCAGGGTTTAGCGGTGGTATCTACAACTCTGGATTCATTCTAGGTAATGGACAGTCAAATGAACGCCTTTTTCCTTTAACAAAAATGTCTCTTACAACCGCATTTACTCTTAACAGCTAATTTAATACAACGTAATCCAGTGTCCTAAGACATTTGTTTGTTTACATTGTACAAGACAAATAATTGACTAAAGTCTGTCCGGGCGTAGAGAAGCATGCATTCAGTAGGGATCGAAAGGACACTGTCTGGTATGTATAGATGGTTACTGCACTCTATGCAGGAAAAATATAAAGCTGAAAATGTTCAAAGTACGAAACTGGAAGTGATGTAAACGTCGTAATTTCAGACTTTTCTCCAACTTTTATGCCAGACATCTGTCAAGCAGACACCAACATGTCTGTCTGATTTGAAGAAAAACATTAATTAATGCTCATGACATTTCCGACATGTGTGAGTAGGTTTGACAGTAAACCAAAGGTCAAGACCAAACTCCCCTGACTTCCGAGTAGTTGGCAGTTGAGGCTAGCGTTGATTGTAAATTTCCACTCCTCATGTGGGCATGATTTTTAATGCGTATGTTGTATTCACACACACATTAATTTAAACTGTGCAGTTGTACGTTATTTAACTACACGTTTCAACATTTCCGTTTGGAACTCGCACCAAGAGCAGATGGAAATGGATACAAAAATATGAAGATAGTGATATTTGAAAAAGAATGTTTAGCTGCTGTTTGTCGTTAAACCAGTCCAGTAAGTGATTGTCAGTGTTATCATTCACATTATCGCTGGTTTATTGGGGCTGCATTTGTGAGGCTAGAAGCATGTATTTATTTGGTTTTGATAAATAGTTACGGGCTGCGTAACGTGCCTTGTCCTGTCAAAGTTGTTATTACCGCTTCTTAAAATCACTAATTCCATTCAGTAGAGTCTTTCTTCACAAGCTGACCGTCTCTCAGCTAATCAATACGAAATTCCACACCCCTTATGAAACCGAAGGTTCATTACCGCGTTCAAAAGAGCTCGTTTAGTTGAACAGTCCACATAGTCACGATATGTTTATTTAAGCTCAATTTTAATATTACCCTCCCATCTACGCCAATGTCTCCCATGTGGTCTCCGATTCATCTCCCCATGACTCCCACGTCGTTCTCTTTGCTTTCATCACAAAAATGATATTTAGTGAATAATAGCTTTTTTCAATTCAAGGAAGAGAATGCATTGATGTTAGACGTGTAACATACATGAACGGAAACTGAACGTACACGATAAGGTTTGCATTGCAACCATATCTTATTATCCGTTCGTCTAGATAACGAGAACGTGCAGGATATAGTGATAATGTATGTGCAATCGCCCAAGTTTTCCTGGCTTGTGAACTTCATACTGCAGTTGCCCATGGTGGTCTTCTGCCACCGTGTTGACTTGTAAGTGAGTGCTAACGTTTCGGAGGAACCTACTGCCTCCATCTTTAGTTCTGAGCAGGTATTGTCCTGCACAATCACACACGAACTAAAGGGACACCTATACTAAAATGTAATAAACTTATCAAAAATTTTAACTTGTAAATATATTTATATAGAGCGTACCAAAAACGTCAAAAATAAACGAATAGATGAGGGATCCCTATACCAGTGTTTCGCAAACTTTTTTCCATTTTAAATTACACTTCATTACAGTTGATATTTCAGTTGGCTTCGGAATAATTTTGATTGCTCAGGAACAAATATTTTCCTGGTTGTTCGTCCGACAGGGGCATAAGTCTCTTTTTTCTTCTTCCAATGATCGCGTAATTTTAGTATTTTAATTGATGATTTCTGTAATTTCGATCATTTGACTTGGTTTTTAAAGAGAATATCAACGTGCGTTGATAAATTTCTTCCCTAAGAACCAAAGGAACAGCCAAGCACCCACCGAACCTGGAAAACTTAAATTCACCCGCGCACCTTAATTTTAAAGTTCAGTGAATATATATATATATATATGTGTATATATATATATATATATATATATATATATATGCGTTTAGTGTGTGTACATAATGAAAAGTGTAAGACTGTCCTTGGAATCAGATTGTAAGATTTGCTCCAAGGTGAACGGAAATAGGTTGCCAGTTATGTAAGTACGATGATGAACAAAATACGTGACTGATGTGTAATGTGTTTTGAAACTGCACAACATGCATGTTTTCTGATGCCTGCCACCAGGAAGTCGTGTTGAAATTAAGCCCTCTCTTCATAAACTTTCATTTGCTGTAAAAATATTTTACAGTTTCTTGTCATGCCAAATGGTAATCGTGTAAATAAATATATTGTTTCTGCAATACCAGTATGGCATTACTTACAGATTCAAGAATTAATTGAATTAATAGAATGATTCATGAATTTGGCCTACTCAAGACTTCGCCTCTTAATGTAGGTACAGCATCTGATAATGAACTGTTGCATCCCCAGGCTGAAGGCCATATCTCGTCGGCTATTCGCGAATGTCTACCCTTCATGTCTCAAGGCTGTCTCTTCCATCCACAAACACTTTGATGTTTACGTGCTTTGATATATGTTTACCTACAGCCACATAGACCTAAAACTTCTCAGTAATGAGTACTGCCATTAAGCAGTTTTTGGAAGTGCTTCTAATTGGGTGACGAAAACGCTGACCTAGTACGTAACACGACATTTTTTTTCTTCATTAAAGTGATGGGAAAATAATACGATGTAAAGGAGGAAAACATGTAAATCTACGAAGGGGGCAAAGGAAACGAAGAATGAATTAAGGGAAGAATATACGAAATAAATCATTCACCATTGAATTTTAGTCCAATGTCCAACAACGGGCGAGAACATTTCTGTTGTTACACAGTGTTCTGCAATGGTGCGTGTTGAATTTGCAATGATACGCAAGAAAATTATCGATGATGAGGCCGGGTTTAACAGTAACTATGATCAAACAAACGCAGTGCATGATTACGCGCACGAATACCAAAGAATCTCGACCTTCATAAAGGTCACGGTGACTCGAGTCATAAATCACAGATTTTTGAGTGACTTTACAGTACATTCTGTCTGTGATGATGTCGGTTAACGACTTACACAGAACAGTTGTCTTCATGCTTCAGTCTTTAACATTGCTATTTGATAATTTATACAGACAACCGATCTTGATCCTAAAGGGAAAAAACACTAATAATGCAAGTACACGTGTTAACCCGGCCGCGCTGCTTCTACAGCCTAAACGTAATAATTTCACATCTGTTGTGCAAAGACTGTTTTATTTCCTTGTGTGCTGTCGCTTCCACGGCTAGCGAAGCTCGGATTTATTTTGCGTCCACTGTAGTAAACATGTCAGTGATGTCCGTAATTTGTAGACAATGTTGGAATTTGTTGTTACAAGCATTTGGAGGGGATAACTAATGCGCTACACATTTACGAGATATGATTGAACGTAGTACGCCTACATGGGTTTATCAGTGAAGTATAATCTATACTGCCTGTTACATTACATAAAATGGATTCAGTGGCCGTAAATGGGGTTACACCTGTGAGTCAAAAAACTGGTTCTAAATAATGAAATAATTGAACAAGTCCACACTTCAAGTTTCTAGCTAGAAACGTGTCGTGTTATGGCGAAGTGGATAAACTAACATTTATAATGGGCCAATAAAGAGTGTATTAAAACAAGTCAGGATAAGAAAGGAGACTTGGGTTTTGCCAGAATGTTTCGAAAAGGGACAAGTCGGGACAAGAAACCAAAAGGGGGTAATTTCGGGGAAGACATGTTTATCAGTTGTGAGACCGATAAACAGAGTTGATTGTAACCGTGGGACAGAAAAAGTAAGTCAAGACTTGGCCACTCAGCGTCGGGAAGTCGTGGTGGCGATTTATCGAGTTTAAGGTTGATAAGACGTGGTATTTTCCGCGGCACATCAACATTGTCTAGTTCTGGATTTCGTTTTGGACCGACAACAATTTCAATTGCTTCACATTTAGGCCCCTTTCAATTAGAAATGTAAACCTCAAAATTTGAAGCAAACAAGCTCGCTGTAGCGAGTGTAAGTCGATCCTTGTAAGTAACCTTGTTGGACGAGAATCTCAAGCCTACCTTTGACCTCAAATTACCGAAAAAAATCATCATTATCTGGCACCGCACTGGAAGTTTAAGTGAGGGTGGTTCAGATGGAGTAGGTTAGATGACGTTGAGTGCTTATTTAAAACTGTTGAAGTTTTTGACAACTCTATTTTCAAGGGCAAAGCACATTTAGAAGTAAAAAAAGAAATTTGCAAAGAACGCGTGTGGAAACACTATATTCCGGTACGGATTAGCGTACACTTTCCAGTCGTGTAGTTACAAGAATATACAGAGTGGTTCAGAAATCCCTGTGCACGCACGCACACAACACGCTTTAGATGGCGTACTAGATTTGGGTGTGTGACAGGGACTTTTGAATCACCTCTAATACACAGTACATAGGAAGATGTAGTTTGGACGTTGCTACTTCCAAACAGATACGACAAAGCTGTCTGGTCTTTAGCTTTCTTTCTGGGCACGCGCCTAATAACGCTGTGTGGTTTCAGGCATGGAATTAGTTGGTCCAAGAGCTCGAGTCATTGGGGGAGCCGTTATTAGTTGTTTTTATTCGGCTGGCATGGTGCTTTTGGCAGCCGTCGCCTTGTGGGTGAAAAACTGGCGAATTCTGCAAGCCATATATGCACCTGGTTTGATTTGCTTCGTCTACTACTGGTAAGTACAGGCACAAAGTAGTCCAAAGACATGCACTGTGTCCTCAAGCGACTGTTTCCTTTTTTCAATGACCCATCCAAGGCATATTAAAAGACTAAAAGCATTACAACATACTGAAATAGCTATAAACAACCTATATTTGACAAAATTGTGAAATATAAAAGCAATAATTATTGGAATGAACATGTTGATAGACTTGCAAACTATTTTAAACAAAATACATCAGACTGTCATGGCGGTTAGAATAAAGGTGAGTGTGTCTAGGGATATTGCGCCGCGTAGTCGGGTAGAAGCAGATGATGGGCGAAAATGGAGGCTCTAAGTAATTCTGAACGTCTGTCAAGTTCTACCAGACTACACCATCCCATAAGACAGATACTTCTTTTATATGTATATTTGTGGGTCCCTTGTCAAGAGAGCAATGTATGACCGCGAGGTACGGATGGAGACGGCCGGTCACTAAGAGCTGAAGAAGTCCTCAGCGATTTGGATCGAGAGTAATTACTAATTATGCTTTGTTGTCTATTCATTAATTACTTCAAAGAATAGGGGACAGACACTTTTCATGAAGACGTATGCGTTTTGCGGGAGTAAGTGGCTTGGGGAAACCCAGTGCAGTTTTACCGATCCGTGAATCAGAAAACGCTTTTTCCACATGAAACCTATTCAAAAAGCTGCATTATGCAACATAACGAAAGCTGAATTTGGTTCCGTGGTAATGGAGACGGCCGTGCAAAAGAACGTTATTCTTCTGCCGGAATTGGCTGCCAGCACCGTAGAACGCCATTGGCCATCGTTCAACTGGTGCAATCACTGAAACGCGTTGCAGGAATTGGGCGAATGCCCTGATTGTGCAACTCGGGACAGGACTAGAGGTGTGTTATATTTCAGACCAATCCGGTGACTTGGGTTAAGAGGCCAACAGGCGTTATGTAGGACGTTTATTTTGGTGAAACAGTGGGAGAAGCTGCTACGTAATTCTGTGTCGCATATTTTAAACTAGAGCGGAAAACCGTTCTCCAGTTCATGGTACACATTTTCAGACGACGTTGCATGTGATCTTACATATCACGTTATTTGTTTGTCGCCGCTGCAAATATTGCAGCCCCACTATTATAATTTATTTATTCTATGCATAATTGAATGTGTAATCTGACTCCCTATCTACACCTGTGTAACGTTTCGCCGGCAAATCCTATACAGTGTAATGTTAAACTCGTTAAAGAATATTTTTTAAAATATTTGTTATTAAATTTGTTAAAATACTTTTATTATTACTACTACGAACTAAGGCATAAGGTCTTTAAAGTCTTTGCCACTCGCTCCGTAAAAGCTGAAGAATAACTGATAATGAAATATGTAATTACGTATTGACGATAATTTCCATCAAATTGTAGACACATCATTATGTTTACCATGTCCTGATACAGATGAATTTACCTGCAGACATAGTGGCCGAATGATTAGTAATCGTGCTTCGAATACAGAAAGTCCGGAGTTAGAAAATCGATTATCCATGATATTCGTTAGTTACATACGGCAAGTTAGAATATTAAACTTGGCTGCACCCACTTCGTTTCACCAAAAATTTCGCCATTATCAAACCACCATGCTACTTGATGCCACATAACCTAAATAGTTACAGAAACATGAAGAATCGATCATCTGAACCTAGTCCATGCCTCCACGCCTTGATTTTAAGATAAATTTTAATAATCCCCCAAATAGTCTCTTCTGTTGAGGTTTTCTAGCGACTTTCTACTTTTGACTACATGTAACATGAAATTTGGCTTATTTAGATCAACTTTATGTATTTTCAAGTGTGAATTGTTTCTTTTTTAATTGTGCGTGTTGAACAGAAATAGAAATATCTCTGTAAAATGAACGTGTAATACAACAATTTTCAGGGCCTTGGGCATTCGATTTTTGGTATAAAAAGTGAATATATTAGGGATTCCTCAGTCAGTCCCAATGCACAGCGTGAAAGTTATGTTTCAGGATTCTGCCAGAGTCTGTCAGATGGCTTCAATCCCAAGGAAGGACCGAAGAAGTTAAAACAATTATGTTGAGAGCGGCAAAAATAAATGGAGTAAAACTGTCTGAACAAGAATTTAGCAAGTTTGAATTATCACCTGTTGTAGCGAAGACAGAAGATGTGAGTGATAATCCATAAATATATTTTTTAAGTATTTGTTTTATAAATCTATTGTAATACTTAGGGTAGTGAACCAGTGAAATGAGAAGGAAATTAATTTCTTGGGTTCATTATTTTTGATAAGTCCTTCTAAATGATGGACAGCTTAGTCCACTCAGGTAAGGACACTCAAGGACGAACTCCCCATAAGCTACAAATGCTGTTCTGCTGTTCGAGAGATGTAGTACGCAAATGACACTGCATGTCTAAGCAGAAGTGTATCAGTCACTTGTTTGTAATTCAAGTGTTCTTATCAGCTTAGAGTTCAATGTCCCTACAGTTATGTGAATAAGTTCTTCAGACGTACTAACAATGTTAATGCAAGAATAAGTTATATAAACATACCTGAGGACGATTTTGTCCTTTTCGTCAGAAATTATATCCACGCAATTTTACGTCTTGACTTTATTTCTGTAATTGATGGTAGGATCACAATTAAATAAGCACTTTTTCTTTCAGGAGACTCCTGTACAGAAAAGATCTAATTCTGATGCTTTCAAGAGAATTTTTAAATCAAAAATATTGCTGGCTAGACTGATTAACTGTGCCTTCTGCTGGTAAGTTTGAACAATGTAATAAGTAATGATTTTGAAGTCACAGAGTTTTATGTTGTGATTTTATTAATCCTTTTAGCAAAATGACCTGTGATGAGAGTGTCATATTGCTAAATAGCTTACTGTTGGGGACAGATATTCCCCCCAGATGTCAGTGACAGGTAATACATTAATAATCCGTGGCGTAACAGCCCTTTGAGAGCCAAAGCCGACTAGCTGGCTGCTGGCCTCACATTCACATGCCTAAGCAGAGGTGAACGATCATCCAACCAGATAGAGAGTGACGTGTGGTCAGCACGACGAATCCCCAGCCATTGCTAGTTTTCATGACCGGATTACGCTACTCATTGTAGCTCCCCAATTTCCTCACGATACACCGGTCAAAAATCTCATGATAAATTTCTTTCCCCGAGACTTGAACCAGCGCGCATTCCGTATCAGACCGGTCCAAAGCATGATGATTCAGACTGCGCGGGACGGTAATACATTACTTAGTCTATATATGTATTAAATAAAATATATAAAATATGAATTTTTGGCATTACTTCTAAAATTGGCTGAGAATCCCTTAACAGCATTAACATTTGAAATAATTTAAGCATAATTCATACATGACGAAAGCCAGCAGCTTCAAAACTTTCTAAACTTATAATAAATTCTACAACTTGTATAAATTTTGTCCAGTAATTTCGGCTTTGATATAAAGAATTTGTGTTACCTTTATGTGCTTAAGCTATAATTAAAGGGCTTTCTTTCAGGAGGCTTGGAATTGTCAAAGTTTTCTACGTGTCAAACAAA